GGAAACAGCATGGGGCACAAGCAAAGTTAGTTCAGTGTATCCCACAAGGTCACGTGATGCTAGGGCCGCTTTCTCAGCGGCAGCCACAGCCCGCAGACAGCGAGGCAACCCTGCTGCCACGGGATCGAGTTTTGCTGAGAAGTAAGCAGTGGGTCTCAGTGGCCCTCAGTGAGGCTGCAAAAGTACCGACTGTTCCGTTCATCTCCAGTTGCTTTTCTCCCGGATCGTCCTCAATTCATATTGTGGGCTTTTGTGCCAAAGTGGAGGCTCATTTCCTCCTGATCCATACTACTGTCATCCCTGGAGCAGGGGTAGTTTATCTCTCATCTGAAAAAGAAATATCAGAACACAAAAAAAAACAAAAAATGCCCACTTTCGCTTGTCAATCTTTTTCCCAATTGGGCAAAACATAACTGCATTGACAGACGGTGTTTGACATCAGGGCAGAGGCTGTAGCAAGATACAGACTTAACAAAATGTATGTTTCTAATTTTATACTTCCCTAAATGTGAGTTTACAACCAAAGTTGTCCTTCACCCAACGACAGCTCACTGCGGTTGGACTGTGTCGCTGTCAGGACAAACAGCAGAGGGAGGAACTCCCAATATCTTCAGCGAGGTATTTCATCTCCGAGTACTCATCCCAGAGTACTCTCACTTTTACACCTGTTCAATAAAGCTTGTTATCTTTGAATCTCTAGTACTTACACCGTATGCTGTTGACAAAAAAATAATTATTCCATGATCACATTAAAACATTACAGACACATTTGTTATTCCATGATTCCGTTCAGCATTCCTCATTTCACTCCTTATTTCACACATCACACTCATATCACAGTCACATCACAGTCACATCACAGGCCGATTCCCCCACGTTAGTATTTTGGTCCAGTTTGTTAAGGTCAGCGTAGTGTACTTTGACATGACACACAAACATATAACATACACAAAACATATAACACACAAACATGTAACACACAGAAGGCCTGTACTTTTAACTTTGTTATATTTTTCCATGTCCAATTCCAATTGTCTCATGAGCTATTTCTTATTGTTGCAACTTTCAGAGCCTGCAGAGCTTTAAAAGAGTTTTCCTAAAAGGATCCATTTCCAACTTTAGTGTTTACCACGTGGTCTGTATTTCGGGCTTATCACAGATGGTGTCCCCTATATCTCTAATGAGCTCTTGTCACCTAAAAAATGTTTATTTTCCTTATTTTTTTTTTTTTTTTTTTTCAATAAAGCCAGGTCGGATTCATTAAAAATGTAAATTAGTCTCAAACTTTAATACTTCACCTTTGTTTCACGATAAAATGTTTTTGTTGCTCATTAAGTAGCACAGATAGTGGTGCCTATCTCAATAAACGTACTCCGTTAGCCTATCTTCCCTACACTGCATGAATTTTCAAACTCCAAGTTATTGTCTGGGAACGACCGGAGAGAGCAGCTTAGGTCGTTCGCGTGGTTGACCTCCAAATTTTGTGCGGGCGTCACTATCCACTTGTTGTGGCTAATAACTTAGCAATCTCAGGGTTTGGTGTCAATTTCCAGTGGTAGTTAACTTTTGGGACCGGTGCCTCCTTTTATTTATCTATTTTTAATTGAGTCTGCCCATAAGGTCTCGGCCTAGTAGGTTAACCGGGGACAATGGGGAATATAGAAAAGAATGTTTAAGCTGGTTGCCCTGAGAATCAAAACACGTTAGCGGTGACGTAAATTGCTCTTTAGTCGTCTCTCCGACGCTGCTAATTAGAATATGAAGCGGCCGCTCATTTTAGGGGAGACAGAAAGGCTGTCACTTTTAGCACAGAATTTGTTGCCCCGGAGTCATCCAGAATTTTAACTTGTACACCACAGGTTGTTAGCGTATATTACGGGCATGAATTATCTCTAAAAAGTGCCAATTGCAATTTGTTGTTGTTCAAACTTACATGAGCGGTCGCTTTGGTGACGAATGTGAACCCAGGTTTGGTCAGTCGCTCGTGTTTCCTCCGTGCCCGCCTCTGCCGTCCTCTGGCCCCGTGTTAGCTTGAGAGGCCCTCTGCCTTTAACGCCTCCTCCGGTAACAGTCCTTCGACCCATGTCGAGCACACAGTCTTTCCGCCGGGCTGTGGAAGTTTTTCAAAGTCCGCAGGAGGCCCAGGTAGCCCAAAGCGTTAGCATGTGGTCCATGAGGGTTGGTGAATAACCCAAACGTGCCGGTCACAATGGCTTCTTCTGTTTGCGGTGCGGGAACAACTTTCAAGCGGGTTTCCGCGGGTGCGTTTGGTATATCACGCTGCCCCCTCCGTGGAGAACAGTCACGGGATTTGGAGCAGTTTCTCTCTGTGCTCCAAAGCAGTTCTCGGTGTCTCACATATTTGCTTCCCCGCTTCTTCTTCTGTGGTTTCCTGAGCGTGTGTCTGTTTCCGCCTCTTCTTCTTCTGCGGTTTGGGCCCACTTCTCGCGGGGTCTCAGCTGGTGCGGGCGCCGCCTGTGGTTGGGGCGTGGGGCTGGTGCTTTGAGGCAGAGGACAGTGCGCGGAGGAAAGGCGCCGACAGATCTGGATAGGGAGAGGAAGAGGGACAACAGTAGTCTGCTCATTTTTTTAAAAACCCAACGCCTTGTTTGGGTGCACACTTATTGTTAGTAGGGGTAGGGTGGGGGTGTGGGGGATGTGTGTGTGTGTCCGCCTCTGTGTTCTCCGCTTCGGTGAAGGGTGGAGGAGCTATTGTTTTTACATATTTCTTTCTCTAACCTCTTTTGCCGTGATATTCTTAAAACCAAGTATATTTTTTCTTCCCTTCTTCTTCTAAATTATCACGCAAGATGCGTAATGGCCTGCACCATAGGCAAGCACTCCATAGCTTGCATCTTCTAGATTGTTTTTTACCCATTTTCTCGTACGAACAATGGGCCTAACCCGCTTAGTCTCTCCCTGCTCCTACCCACTTTGGGGCGCTCCATTCCCCCCTCGCTGGTTCAACCAGCGAGCGCGCGTTCTTGAAATGGAGCGGTTCTGGCTGAAGACACTTGGAGAAATTTTCAGGGTCGCCTACAGGACGATACTAACGCGCAGCCGCTAGTTTTCAATCTAGAACAAAAAGCCCCCCAAAAAATCCCGCACACAGACTATGCTGTGGCAATGAATGAAATACCCCAAAAATACATAAATAAACAAATCCCCGTGTACACTTAAGTGCTGCCCTGGGCTCGTTACGCAGATGAAAAGACAAGACTCACCAGATTAGGTTCTTTTTGGTCTTGTGTGGCAAAAGGATTCCTTCCGTGCGTGGACGAGCGCGCTCTCCCTTGTCTCCAAAAAGGAACAGAGGCTGGTGATCCAGGTCGGCCAAACAAAGCCGCTCGTCCCGCCGAAAGTATCCCATGCCAAGACATGTCAGCAACGCCAAATTGTTATAGAATTATATACCCCATGAAGGAGGAAACTCAAAGGTCCTTTGTCTGATCAAAAGCGTAAGTTTATTGTTAACGCACAGTGCGGAGGGCCAGCACATCCACTCAAAAGCAGCATGTCCCAGCTCTGGGGGCCAGAGCCCCCAGCTTCCTGTATACAAAACACACACCAAAGATAGTCACGCCCACAACGGAGCGGAGGGGGCCACCGGTGAGGAGGCGCACAGGAAGCGCCGGCGCCATCCCCTGTGGTGGCAGTGGCATGGGGTGTGAACAGACAGACAATGGTGGAAGTGCAGGTCATACAGATGCAAGACGGAAAGACACAAGGGTGTGACAGACAGCAGGGACCTTCACAAAGCTCAGCATGGCGTCAGAAGGTTGTCTGCATTGATAAAAGGCCTTTGACGTCCGTGTATTTGCTGCGGCTGGTTTTAATGTAATTACTCCAAAAACTGTCACCACACAACTCTTCTGGAAGAGCTCTGTGTCTGGCTTTAAACAACATCAACAAATATTATACCTCTACTATATCCTTAAGTTGTCCTGATCTAATGAATAGAGAATTGTTGTGATCTCTCAATCCAGCTTTATAAACAATTCGAATGGCTCTTTTCTGTAATAGAACTAAAGACTTTATGTTGGTGCTGTAGGTATTACCCCATGTTTCTACACAGTAATTAAAGTAAGGAAGTAGTGTTACACGATATATCAAAAAAATATCATTATTGCAATATTGGTGCGCTCAATATAAAAAAACAAAACTTTTTTTATTTTATTTTATTTATTAAAGACTACAAAAAAAATCAACATTCAACAAACAAACAAACAAACAAAAAAGTATATCAATATATGCATTTGAAGGTCATCAATGTTGTGCTTTTTTTGTTATTTGTCTCTTGCGTTTCAATGCAGATTGCAATTTTAGGTGACAGACACAAATTTCACAATTATATCGTTATTGCAACACTAAACACTCATATCAAATATCGCTCTAATTTCCAATATTGTGCAACCCTAAAAGGAAGTATCATTGATTAATATAACATTCTCAGAGTATTACATGGCAACAAATATTTTCCCCACGGTCCGGGGCTTGTACCAAAGGTTTAACACAAGCGGAGAATACGAAAGTGCAGGGAGAGACGTGTGTGAAAATGCACGTCACAACGGAAGAGGTAATGTGACGCACAATATCAAGTCCCCACCACCTCATTCCCCACTCCCCACCACCTGGCACAGTGACCCCCCTCATCTGGGCTTTGGATGCGTGCTCAGGCCCACCTCTCCCAACCGTGCTCAAGCCCACTTGCAGCAACTGTGCCCAAGCACAGTTGCCCCACGGTCACCTAAAGCCCGGATCTAATTGCGAAGTGGGCCCAGGCACACTTTAACCGGACTTTAGGCTGTGCATGTGACCGCAGCCTATAATATCGGTGTGAAATCTTCATGACCTAATTATCAGTATGTGAATTATTTTTGTCACTCACATTGATCTCACCCTCACCACTCTCACCAAACCTAAGTATGTTGTGCAGTAAAACCACTTTAATTGATTATGTGTAGATCTTAAACTCATGTGTGTCTTCTGTTGTTTTTCAGGAGATAAAGAAGGAGGGTAAACGTGATGGAGGACAAGCTGCAGTTCTTAAAAATGAGCTGTCCAACGGCCGGGCCAGTCCTGTGTCCTCGGACACTGGGATCCGCTCAGGAAAGAAAGGTAAACATGACAAGAGCACAACGGTTAATGATGGAACCGGAGATCAACAGGGAGATCTGTGGACAATAACTTATATCATACAGTGCCTTGCAAAAGTATTCGGTCCCCTTGACCATTTCAACATTTCGCCACATTTCAGACTTCAAACATTAAGATATAAAATTTAAATTTTTTGTCATGAATCAACAACAAGTGGGACACAATCGTGAAGTGGAACGAAATTTATTGGATAATTTAAACTTTTTTAACAAATAAAAAACTGAAAAGTAGGACGTGCAATATTATTCGGCCCCTTTACTGTACTTTCAGTGCAGCAAACTCACTCCAGAAGTTCAGTGAGGATCCTTGAATGATCCAATGTTGTCCTAAATGACTGATGATGATAAATAGAATGCACCTGTGTGTAATCAAGTCTCCGTATAAATGCACCTGCTCTTTGATAGTCTCAGGGTTCTGATTAAACCGCAGAGAGAACCATGAATACAAAGGAACACACCAGGCAGGTCCGAGATACTGTTGTGGAGAAGTTTAAAGCCAGATTTGGATACAAAAAGATTTCCCAAGCTTTAAACATCTCAAGGAGCACTGTGCAAGCAATTATATTGAAATGGAAGGAGTATCAGACCACTGCAAATCTACCAAGACCCGGCCGTCCCTCCAAACTTTCATCTCAAACAAGGAGAAGACTGATCAGAGATGCAGCCAAGAGGCCCATGATCACTCTGGATGAACTGCAGATAACTACAGCTGAGGTGGGAGAGTCTGTCCATAGGACAACAATCAGTCGTGCACTGCACAAATCTGGCCTTTATGGAAGAGTGGCAAGAAGAAAGCCATTTCTCAAAGATATCCATAAAAAGTCTCATTTAAAGTTTGCCACAAGCCACCTGGGAGACACACCAAACATGTGGAAGAAGGTGCTCTGGTCAGATGAAACCAAAATCGAACTTTTTGGCCACAATGCAAAACGATATGTTTGGCGTAAAAGCAACACAGCTCATCACCCTGAACACACCATCCCCACTGTCAAACATGGTGGTGGCAGCATCATGGTTTGGGCCTGCTTTTCTTCAGCAGGGACAGGGAAGATGGCTAAAATTGATGGGAAGATGGATGAAGCCAAATACAGGACCATTCTGGAAGAAAACCTGTTGGAGTCTGCAAAAGACCTGAGACTGGGACGGAGATTTATCTTCCAACAGGACAATGATCCAAAACATAAAGCCAAATCTACAATGGAATAGTTCACAAATAGACGTATCCAGGTGTTAGAATGGCCAAGTCAAAGTCCAGACCTGAATCCAATCGAGAATCTGTGGAAAGAGCTGAAGACTGCTGTTCACAAACGCTCTCCATCCAACCTCACTGAGCTCGAGCTGTTTTGCAAGGAAGAATGGGAAAGAATTCCAGTCTCTCGATGTGCAAAACTGATAGAGACATACCCCAAGCGACTCGCAGCTGTAATTGCAGCAAAAGGTGGCGCTACAAAGTATTAGCGCAAGGGGGCCGAATAATATTGCACGCCCCACTTTTCAGTTTTTTATTTGTTAAAAAAGTTTCAATTATCCAATACATTTTGTTCCACTTCACAATTGTGTCCCACTTGTTGTTGATTCTTGACAAGTTGCATTTTTATATCTTTATGTTTGAAGCCTGAAATGTTGAAAGGTTCAAGGGGGCCGAATACTTTCGCAAGGCACTATACATCCTTAGATATTGTATTGTGCTGGATTATCTTTAGATTTTTCATAATGTGATGTAATAAAGACACAAGGTGGATCCCTATACATTTTGAAGAGATAAACTTAGGTGGACGACTAAAATCAATTACCGAAATAGATAAAAGACAAATACGTAAATTAATACAATTAATTAAATAATTAAATAAATTGTTGTTTGTGGGAAATAGCTTAGAGAGTGTCATGAAAAATTCTGCACCTGAATTGGTGCATGGTGTCTTTTATAAATATAATAATATACATAACAGCCAAGATTTATTAAAGCTGACGTACCTATCTTTTTTTTATCATATTCTTTATATTTGGCCCAACAGAAGGAAGAAGTCTTGTAAAAGTACGTTATGAACCCATCAGACCACAACATGTTTCATCTTATTAGAAAGCATGTTTATTTTTATTTTTTTGCATATTTATAAGACAGAGCTTTGTGAGTGACTATTTGACTCTTTGGGCTGAGCGCTGATTAGTGAGGATGGTCACAGAAGCCATTAGTACATGCATGTGATAACAAGTGATGAAACCAAACTGTTTTAGAGCCAGAAACTAGTTAATATGGGTATCATCTTGCTGGCAATTTAATTTGACTAATTCAATAATTTGCGCAACAAATTTAAGTAAATGTTTGAATATCTGAGCAGTAAGCTGGCCTGTGAACATGTCGCTGTTTCTCCCCTCCTACTTGTGATTTGAATACGGGACAGTCAGATCCTGATGTGTAAGAGGACGAGGAGGACACCTGGTGGACAGCTGGTGTACTGCGGTGTTGGTGCTCAGCTGGTGTTGAGGGACTGGGAATTGAAACGCTTGAAGCAGCAGAGCACATACAACAGCTCTATGCTCCACTGTTATACCATTTAGTGGTGTAGTGTTGTGTCATAGAGCTGTGAATGTGATCACGTTTCTCTAATATGAATTTAATAATATTTCAGAAAAGGCTAATTATCTGTTAACATTCAACCTTTTTAATATTTTAGAATGTTATTTTTAACAGAGGATACGTGTAGATGATTTTATGTTTGTTATAACCCTGTTCTGTGAGGGGGTAACAAAGGGGGTAATTTGTCATAATTTTTTTTGACAAAATAGGTATAATAAGTAACGTAAGATCACATATTTATAATCTATTCAAGTTAATTAGGCAATTAGCAGAACTGAAGGAAATATAAATTTAAAAGTCAAAATTATCGAAACAAAACAACCTAACTGTCTCAACTTAGTACAAAACAAGTCACAAAATCAAGACAAGTGACATAACTAAAACACACACATCAAAGTGACTGGAAAACCGCACTGACTTCAGTCTCGAGCAGTGGAACTCTGGACCTCTGAGTCTGCTGCGCCTCCAGGAGTCTGTGCAGGAGGAGGAGGACGAGACTCTGTCCAACCAGAGCCTCAGACACGACCAGCCAGGTGCAGGAACCAATTATCCAACCCGTGCGGAGATCTCACCAGTGTGTTGGTGCACATCTTAACAGCGAAAATAAAGAAAATCAAAAAAATGTGGTGCTAAACAATAAGAAAACAGCCTAGAGCCGGAACAATGTCCATGTGGTATCGGCAGGAAAGGAAAATCTTTGTCTTGTGATTTTGTTTTCAGTATGAGTAGGTGTTAAAATGAGCATCTACATTCAATCGTTTCAGTAGATTTTTAGAGCAAATTAAATGCTGTATGAATCTTTATTCTAAAATGTTGGCGTATCATGTAGCAGAGCAGCAGCATTGGTACATGATCTTCAGAATCCAGGACACGTTATATGCTTTAAATACTTGGCTTCCCACAAACAGTTAGCAGGCCTCTGTCTCTTATAGGGATGTTTGCCAGCGTCGTCCCTGACGTCACGATGTGGGTGTGGCTAGAAATTGGTTGTCAAAAAGAAATCATCAAGTCTCACAGTTCGCAGCGGCCTACCATAGTTATATCAACTTATGCTTCATTCATGTTTTCTGTCTGATCCATATCAAATGAATGAGAATTGGAGCAAAAGCTTGGACACATTGGTGGAGGTCTCAGATCTGACATTTGGCAATATATGTACATGTACTGTATCAACACCCCTCTGTTTACAAGAGAGTAAATGAAAGAGTACAAATCTGTAGAAGCCTATAAGAAAGCTATAATTTCTGCATAATTACGAATATTATTTGTTTAAAAAAAGAAAAGTAAGTTATTTTTTATATAGCGCTTTTTGACACAGTTATGATGGAAGCGAGTAAATATGTTGAATTGCAGGAGGATCAGAAAGGTACTGGTGCTATGAGCATAGGGTGGCAGCTCTCATTGCCACCCTCCCGACCCAGAAATGAACTAATAAAGGGGTTTAAAAAATAATTAATTAATTTCTACAACATGCTCAGCTCAGGAAGTATAATTATGTTGTTTTTTATTCTTCCATGGATCACACAAGCATGCACTCAAGTTAATCGACATTTTTTCAGGTTATTCATCATTTAATTAAGATATTATAGAGATAAAAACTTACCAGTAACATGTATTTCCAAAATTTGTTGTAAATGTTAAGATAGGGCTGGGCAAAAAAAAATCTCAGATTTTTTCACACCAAATCCGATTTTCGATTTTAATCAATGCTTTTTTTCTATTTAAAAACAAACTACAACTGACAAAGAAATAGATTTTCCTTTATGCAGTATAATCTTAATCCCCATGGAGCATAAGTGTAACAGGAAATAAGCCTTAAAACATGCTTGTAAATGAGATGGCCCTGCCATTGTAAACAGTGAAAATACTCCAGTTTTCTAATAACTTCACTTACAGTGACACAATGCACCTTCAAAATAACTTAAATCACACAAACGAGCTAGGGCAATAGCAAATATATCAATCGTATTAAACACATGTATTATTTACATGAAATATCACATTTTTTAAAACTGATTACTCAAAATACAAGTGTTATACAACAGAGAAAGTCTTGAGTGTGCCTGAGTAACTGTGCTGTAGTACAACGCTCGGTCCAGCTGGTGGTGCTAATACTAACTTCAGTGACTCCAGCATTGTGCGAGTTAAGTTTCCTGTTTACATTCTGCTACTGTAGCTAACAGATAGAGCGGGGAACACGTTGTTTGTATCAGAGCAATGAGAGCAATGTGTGAGACGGGCCTTTCCCCAAAGTGCAGCGGCTCAGTGGGGCACGTGTGTGTGTGCGCCGCGGACACGGAGCCTGCCTGCCTGCTTGCGTGCGTGTGTGTGTGTTCTGGCGATTAAATAAAGTCTGATTCTTGAACGTCTGAAGTGTTATTGCA